TTCTGAAAGTATTGCATTAGCAATACTAGTCCCCTACCGGCAAGTGTAATCTGGTTCCCGTTAAGAATTGAAAATGCCATAGTTCCGTCAAAAATCAATGAAGCGGGGCGAAATGCATACTTGATCTGTAACTCATCAAGATACACTCACACACCAAAAATCAGCTCAATATCTGCAAGCGTTTAGGAAAAAAGTGCGGAAAACCAAGTGGGACAGACTGACAGACAGACAGAGGGACAAACAGACAGACAGACGGACAGACTCAGAGGAAACCTATAGTCCCCTCCGGTTTCACCGGTAGGGGACTAATAAGCGATTGGGACTTTCAAATAACTTCGACATATCAATGGCATTCAAGATATCAGTGTTGGAGATACCGAAGTTCAACTGAATATAAGCCTCGGCTTTTATATTTCAAACAACATTTCTCGGCGTCGGAGGTTATCCCGCAACATTCACGAAAACGCGAACTTTATTTCTTAAATAAACAAATAAACTATTATATTACAAACGGGATGACTTTAGCTTTTTCTTTTATCTCCTGCATATGGATTTTATCTCACTCAATTCTTTTTAAAAGCAATCAAATTTTAAACCGAGGCTGGCTACTCAGAAATAAGTTGATGCTACAAAGATTTCAACACACTCTTTACAGTAAGCAATTTGAACACTTTACAGTCATTATAACGTCTTGCAAATGCAGTCTATCGTAGGATACTGCTGACTGACAAGGTTCATACCAATCGTTAATCCACTGTTTTCAGACTAATTTTGACTGCAGATTACCCCGTTTACCTGATCAATAAGTGGCGCAGTGGTTAGAGCGTCTTCTCCAGAGTCGCAGAGTAAGGAGCTGACCCTTACGTTGCGGGTTCGAATCCACTGCGGGACATGGAGACCGATCCTTCAGATGAGACCGTATAAACCAAGGAGACCGTATAAACCAAGGTCCCGTGTCGCAGTAGGTGTTGGCACCGAAAAGATCCCTCACTGCTCAATGGCCCTGAGTGCCGAGTATAGGTATAAATGTGCTGCCCAACAAGTGGTGGCGTCTCCATATGAGTAAAAAAATTCTAGAGAGGGACGTTAAACAACAAACAAACAAAAGTCTGATCAATAAATAGGGATTGCAAAGGGTTCGACAAGGGATACTTACTTATCCTAAGCACCTGATCCCACCTCTGGAATTTCCAGGGCTCCGTGTTCCCTGTTCACATAATTGTATTGTTTGTATATTTGTTTGTTTGGGGTTTTTTTTTCAGATCAATCACTGTTTGTTGTCTTTGCCTATTTTATTTAGAGAATTTTATAACCTTCTTAAAGTAATGATTATCAAAAATAAATGGTTGAATTTAATTGGAAGAGTCGGCTTATAGTGAAAAGTGTCAACAAAAATGTAACACATGAGGACTAACTCATCTCAGGTTTTATTAGCTTGGTTCAACGAATGTTCAGCAAGATATTTCACCAGGACTTGCTTCTCATCAGTCCTTAAAAATAAATCCATACTGGTCGATGTCACTTTGTATTCAACGGCACATTGTATCCTGCTAACAGACGTTTCCTACCTTTTCTGAGAAAGAGTTCTATTAATTAATCCCGATAAATGTATTATGAGTGTGATAACTGTGCTTAACCTTCACCTTTTTTCATTCAATCCCGTTTCATATCTTAAGGTAGAACCTATGTCGGAAAAGTCTTTGTCACAAGATTTTCAAACTATTCAAAATGATAAATTAGCACTCGCTTGTCAATCAGATAAAAATATATGGTATGTTTCCTTGTAATTAAATGTAGTACAGCCTGTGCAACTTGGAATGATAATTTTACACTACGACTACATATTTTCAGTCATTTTTAGGGGTACTGATCATAATGAGAATATAGAAAATCACAACAATACTTCTTCAAACATCGTCTTTTATAGACTTTATCAATTGAACCGTATTAAGCAATATTATTCAAGAATAAATTCTTTTTTATTCAATTGACATAAAAGATTAAGTCCACATTTCAACGAATATAGGCAAATGTGCTGAATATTTATTGAGTCAATTTACCACCTAAATTTGTATATATTTTTCAAAAGTCTTTATCAGAATGTTTTCAATCTTTAATATGGTGAAGAAGATACCCAAATAATTACAAAAAGTGATTAAAATATATACCTTTCCCCACAAACGAATGAGAGACACTCTATTTATCAATACTTCTTTTGTTGACCTTTCTGCACTAACACAGGATTTATTTATTAAATGACTGTTTTGCGGTTGCGTTCAGATTTACAATGTAAATATCTATCAAAAAATGTAATTTTTTTTATTTAAAAAGATATTTTAGGGAAACATTATTATTATACACCAACCATTATGAATAATTAACAAATAATAATGAAAGGGAATGTACGTCATTTCATGATAGACATTACAAAATTTACACACAATATTTAACAGATCTTTGACCCGAAGACATTTTTATCAAGATATTGTACTATTTAAATTTCTTAGGTTTTTTTGATTTCCTTCAAAATAGTTGCATACCATTCACAGTTGTGTAACTTCATTACAAGAGGCAGTCTTGGAGAAAGTACGGGGAAAAGTAACATTAAATTAATTATGACGTATTAATGGATCTAGCATAAAAAAGACGGTCTAAACTGGTTTACTTGATATGACGTCATACGACGTAGGTTCTACATTAAATACAGGAAACTTACAACATTCTTTTATCAATACCTCATAATCTTGCCACCTACAGTGTATAGTATTTATTTTTTGCAACTTTGCTGTGCAAGTTTCGGTCGGTCGACAGACCAATGGTGTCTTAAAAGTTTGCTAGATAGCCATCAAACTCTCCACATAAGTTTGGCCTTGGTAATCAGATAACCTTTTAAACTTTATAACAAACATTTGCTACAAATATATCTCCAGAACGTTATCTTTATTTTTATCAACTTTGTACACATAATTGTCATGATAAAATGGCAGTTTTTCATTTTCTGGACAAACGTCAAGGTCACCAGATTTTCCATTATATCCCCACCAAATGGTTTTCAAATACAGTATCAATGAGACCAAACCTGACACCCACGCCCCACGCTGTCTCAGAAAGCAGTCCAGGGGACTACTCTGGATGCCTTTCTGAAAATTTGGGCCTGCCCTGGAACTGCACTGGTACTACTCTAAAAAGCAAACCATAAAGTCCACTTCGACTGCTTTCTGGGACCTTTTTGTTCATCCATTCTAGCAGAAGTCCCCTTCTGCATTTGCAATTGTTTACTTTCAGCAAAGAATTTCTTAAATTAAGAATTAAAAATAGCTACAATGTGTTAGCATATTTGCTTAATAAAATTATTCCAAAAAAATCTATAGAACGTTTGATAATGTGAATCAGAGTTGTCGTAGCACTTTTTGACATTAGGTGTAGGTTCCTTGTGATTGGGAAAATTATCGACTTCTTTGCCAAATTGATACAATAGTTCAAAACAGTATTTTTTCCTTCTTGTGTATTTTACACTGTTTAATGTACACAGTTCTAATTAAAGATATCAAAAAATTCGAATTTAAATACATGTATAAAAAAAAAATCACTTTTATATTTCAATGATATTGGAAAATCTCGATTATTTTTTGATCTCGAAAAATCAGTTTTCTGATATCAAAAATGATTTTTATTTTTAGATTTTTTTAATATAGAAAAAAATAAAGGAGATTTTTTATATCATAAAACATTCTGTAGATAAGAAAATACCCTTAAAATATTAAAACATTGCCTCATATATCATTATGTACATAATAAAAGACATTATTTTTTCTGATCGGTGTTATTATAGGAAGAAATTCGGGGATTTTCTGATAGAAATATGAGGAAATTCATCTTTTAGATTTCAAATGAGTTCTTTTTAATGGAATCAAAAGCCTAGTTTATACATCCCACTTAATGAAATCTGAATAATGTGACATTAGAAAATTTTGCATTCAATTCTAATTATGCAAGTTGTTTTTAACTAATTACAATGAACTATCTAGTTTGAAGACGTGCGCATGATCGGTCCCCTCATAGATTTTCATCGATGACGGAAAATCTGGATTAGTCATTATAGGCATTAGTTTTTTGTTTTTCTTTTTTTTTTTCTAAATTATTAGCTCACCTGAGCCGAAGGCTCAAGTGAGCTTTTCTGATCGAAATTTGTCCATTGTCTGTGGTCTTTGTAAACTTTTCACATTTTTATTTTCTCAAGAACCACTGGGCCAATTTCAACCAAACTTGCAACAAAGTATCCTTGGGTAAAGGGGGTTCAAGTTTGTTGAAATGAAGGGCCACGCCACGCCTTCTTTCAAGATGATTTATGATTTCGTGAAAAATTAATGGCATCATTTAAAAATCTTCTTCTCAAGAATCACTGTGCTTGAAAATATGAAACTTATGTTGAATCATTGTGAGGAAGTGTAGATTCAAATTTGTTCAAATCATAACCCCCGTGGGTTGGGTAGGGCTACAATGTGCGGTCAAAGTTTTACATCGGAATACATAAGAAATTTTTTTAAAAATCTTCTATTCAAGAACAGCAAATTCATGATTGGTCATCATGACCATGTTAAAATCATGACCCCCAGGGGTAGTGTGGGGCCACAATGGGCGATCAAAGTTTTTCATGGGAATACATAAGAAAAATCTTTTAAAATCTACTCCTCAAGAACAGCAAAGCCATGATTGGTCATATTTATATGGAAGCATCCTCACGTAATATTTCATCAGAAACTATGTTTTGACTACAGACTCTAGCAACGATTTTTTTATTATTTTTGGCATTTCTGTAATAACTGGTTTTTTGTTTACGGCGTTGTCCTTAAATAACCTAAGTTCCTGGTGATCTGTATATCAATCTTATCAAAATCTGACATAACTTACCTTCCATACGAAAATGTAAATAAAGGAAGATAACTCGCTTGTGAACAATAAACTTTTGTGTAGTTCTACATTTTATCACCTTATTTAATCAGATCGATCAGTCTGGATACTCTAATTCCCCTGGGTTTTTATTAAAAGTCAACTAGTCCGGATAGTTTTGGAATACTTAGAACAGTCTTGGTGAGTGTACACTTTCCTGCAATCGTCAAATTATGACTGCATTTATATCATCCCGAACGAAGTCGGGGTGATATATTGTTGCAGATATAGGTGCTCGGGGAATCTCACTGAAACTTCACAAAAATGATAACAACCAAGTCTAGCTGCATTCAACATTTAAAAAAATTATAACGATAATCATTGTCATGGAAAAAAATGCAATATGAAAAGTTTCAATATCATTTTTCAGTTAACTGCCCAGCCAATTTTATTTTTTGCATCAAATGGTAGCTGTTTGTCAAAGTTTGTCATTGTTGCCATGGAAATAAAAAAGTTTTTGGTTTTTGATTTCTTTCTCTAGATGATTCCAACCTATATGATATTGATTCTCCGCAATTTATAGAGTTAAAATATCCAAAATCATAGATGGCTGCTATTGCCATGGAAACAAAAAGCTTAATTGAGCTTAATTTCTTAAAGCTTAATTTTCACCAGAATTTAAATATTCGTTGCATCTCAAATATAGCACCCTTTGATTCATTTCGGAATATAGAGTGAAAGCTCAGTTCAGGGTGACATATGCTTTTGCTCCATATTATGGAACGCCAAATTAACATATATTCAAATATTTGAACCTATCTTCAAATAATTGTACCCGGTAGAGCGCTCGCTCCGTGATCGGGAGGTCGTGAGTTCGAATCTCGGCCGCGACTGACCTAAGTCGATAAAAAATGGATAGCAACTGTTCCTTCGTCATGCGCTTGGCACTTTGAAGTGAAAGTTGCTGGTCCTTCGGATGAGACCTTAAAAACCGAGGCCCCGTGTCACGGCAGGCGTTGGCACGATAAAGATCCCTCACTGCTCAATGGCCGTAAGTGCCGAGTAAAGGTCAAAATTTGAAGCCCTTCACCGGTATATGGTGACGTCTCTATATGAGTGAAAAATTCTCGAATGGGACGTAAAACAGCATACAATCAATCAATCAATCAAATAATTGTACCTATCTTCAAATAATTGAACCTACCTTTAAATGAATTGAAGATAGGTACAATTGAATTAAAGATAGGCGTAAATAATTATGCCTATCTCTAAATAATTAAACCTAGGTTCAAATAACCTATCTTTAATTAAACCTATCTTTAATTCAATTAAAGGTAGGTTCAATTGAATTATACCTATCCTTAATTCATTTAAAGATAGGTACAATTGATTAAAGATAAGTAGAATTGATTTGAAGATAGGTACAATTGAAACATATCCACAAAGGATTTGAAGAAAGGTACAATTCAATTATACCTAGGTTCAATTCATTTTGTGTCGTAGAAAATAATGAAAGCTCCCTCTAACATCGACTTGAACATGGATGGAACCAAACAAAGCATTTTTTATGGGGAGTAGTTGTTATTGTAGTGTCTTTGTAATTAAAGATAGGTTAATTCATTGCACCTATCTTAAAATCAATTATACCTATCTTTAATTCATGGTATTTGTACCTATCTTCAAATCAGTTGTACCTATCTTCAGATCGTTTGTACCTATCTTCAAATGAATTAGAGATAGGTATAATCGAATTAAAACTATCTTTAATTCATTTACAGATAGGTACAATTGATTTGAAGATAGGTACAATTGATTTGAAGATAGGTAAATTAATTGAAGATAGGTTCAAATATTTGAATATATGTTAATTTGGCATTCCATAATTGCTTCATACAGTGTATTATAGCAAAGTTTTTTTTTGCTGTATGTTGTGCGTTTCTAAGAGGTACATTTTGGTATAATAATCCCAATTTTATGGTAATGTCCTCTCTATTTCTCGCAAAATAAATCGACCACAATATGTATAATTCCTCGGGTAGAAATTTTGTTATTTGGTTCATGTAAAAAGTCGGAAACCAAACTTTAGGGAATTCTCTATAGCAATTGTTTGTACAACTGTATATATTTTAATTTAAGAACACAGACACACAGTATGCGGGTTTGCAATCGTTTCGGTCAAAATAGGGCAAGTGCTTGAAAATCAAGTCTAGGGCCTATCATCACTTCTCGTCAAATGCAGCACGAAAAATTCAGCATATCAAGAATTTCACGAATCTGATAGAATCAGAAAGTTTCTCATCTCATAAAATGATTCACTCCCTGCATGTCTAGTGCAAAAATTATTGCATTTGGAGGGGGGATTCAAGAATAATTTTTCTAATGTTTCGACATGAACCTCAAACGAAATACTGATCGTTCTCCCTTTCTTCTTGTTGTTTGAAATAATACATTTTCCCAAATATAAAACTTATAAGATACATGTACCTAAAATGATTATAAATAATAACATTAACAACAATTAAGATTAAAAAGAGGAGTTTCATTTTTCAACAAATAAGTTATTAATCATATCGTTTTAAGCGTCTGATATTAACGACATACAATTCAAAACAAAACCAGTCATACTTATTGTTGTTTACTTCTTCATTTTTGACAGTGCAGGTGTAGCTGAATCCAATCCAAACAATGTCCCATTACAGGGTAAACAGCGTTAGTGGGTCGGCAGCCTCAGTCTCTTTTATTGGCATTCCGTACAGTGATATCGACAGAACAGGTTCTTTTAAGCAATTTTGGTATTGAAATCATGCAAAATGAGTAAGAAATTTATTTTAAGTTATTTTGTCAAAATTATAAAGTCAGAGCATGAGGATGTACTACATTTGTTAAAAACGAAAAGTTACAGATTAGATATATATCACTTGTCAATCAATTTATTCTCTCAAAATCATGTAAATGATACATGAGGTATAGAAACATATAAAAGCATCTAGACACATAATACAGTGGGTCAAGCAAAAGGTGCGATTAATTAATCCCAACTGATGGGGAGGACTGACTATACTTTTAATTTTAGAAGTAAATGTATATAATTTTTTCAAAGACTCAACATCTTTTAGACACATGACTTCACAGAACTTCACAGTTATTTGGTTAGAAGAAAATTGTCGGTTAAAAAAATCTTTTCTCAATTGCTTGTATGTAATATAGTGATATTCATCTCATATCTGATTACTATTGTATAAGCTACATTTAAAAATGCTATAATTTTAACTTTTTGAAGATTCATAACCTTTACTATTTCACTTTTGAACGTATTGATGTTTTAAACTTTGTATATTTTTAATCAAACTGCATCTGTCAAAAATATTATCTATATATTATATAAAAAATATTATATATTATATTTTTTTTAAAAATCCTGAAGTTTGTCATTTCTCCTTTATCATATTGTTTAGTAAATACATATATATAATGCTACATAATTTCTTTTCTTTTCCAAACACAAGTTTTGCCCAATGTATTATAATCTAGTAAATATTTATGTATAATGGTAACCGCCCAGTTTCTCCTGAATCATATAAATGTAAAAAATATTTTAAGGCTGCCTACCCTTTGAAAAAAAAAATAAGTATCCTTTTTTTCAAATTCAGACATAATTTCCAAAAAAAAAGTCGGAAAAAGTCGACTAGAACTATTGGACGTTGGATAGTGACATATTCGAAAGTTATTCTGATGTCACAGTTTTCGAAAAGTAAAAGTTAAAAACAAGATAAATCAGGAACGGCCAAAACATTTTCTGAAATGTAGCATTATCATTGCACTAAATTTTTAACTATAGCAATTTACCATTTACCATATAAAAATATCGATTTATATATTTAATGAATTATTGACATTTTGCGAGATGTATTCTTGTAATTAAATCCATTAATTTATGTCTGTATACTAAAAAAATTCATCTCTACTATAGTTATGTAAATCGTTCTCCATTTTAATAGGACACTGGGCAGTCTGGTGTATTTCTAAAATGTTTGAAGCTGCACGCTTAGCGGCTCTCCTTGATGGGTTTCTGGACTACAGACGAATCATTGACGAGGAAAATGCCTTAGCCATTATCAAGCAACAGTTGAATTTAGATCCTAAAGTACATAGTGTGAGTTTAACATCACCGATGAAATTAAAGTTTGATCATGAATTTAAACAATTAAAGAAAACTTCCATCATGTTTGCTGTTAAGTTAAAAAACGAGGCCACAGAGGAAATTCTTGGAGAAAATTTCATAAAAGTGGTGAGAATAAATAGGAAAACACGGCGCTCTTCTTCATTTCCTGAATATTTCTACGAAAAATATGCAGCTTTCATGAATACCCCCGGTCATTCTGGCACTGAAAAAGAAGACTTACCGGAAATTCCCAGGCATGCTTATAAATATGTCGTTATTCCAGGACACAGCGACGAGGATTTCAATGGCCACCTGAATCAATCCTCCTTTATTCGATTTTGCATGGATGCAGCAACGAATGCGTCTTTGAAAGGGTATTATGAACATTACACAAGTGATATGTGTTTGTACCCCTCATTACAGTGGACTATAAGCTATGTTGGTGAGAGTCTTGCTGGTGATCAGCTAACTATATATACATGGCAAAAAGAAGATACTGCCGACAATATAAGATTTGCTATCGTACGAAATGGCAATCGAATTTTCTATGCGTCAACAGTATTTGGAAAAAACGCAAATGAAATAAGATTTTGGCATAAATTGTAAACAGATAATTGAATACTGATTTGTTATTGCATAACTCATTAACTGAAATTTTAAATTTATTTGTATTCAGAATTGTACCATTCAAGTCATTCTGTATACTTTGGTCGAAAGGCTTCTGCTGAAAATAGCGATCAAATGGCAGAAGACAATACCTTTCACTGTTGAATGCATAAAAGAATAGAACATTTTCTTTAAATCAGCAAAATCAAAACATATTTACACTTTATTCAACCATTCTGTGTGATGAATTAAAAAAAGAAACTGATATGATAAATACCTGTTTCTTCAATAAAAATGGCACTTAGAAATACACATATCTTGTGATTAGTTATCGTGAAGATTAATCCGTTAAAAATAGTCTAATTCTGTTTAGTAAATTTTAAAATGATGCCGGAGTTCCTCATTGAGAATATATACATGTGTATGTTGTCTTTGAAGACCAGGTCTTCCAACAGTCTGGAATTTTTATAGATACCAATTGTGCCCTTTTAAAAGCCGGCCAGTTTTAAGGTCTTAATTAAAAGCGTCTACATGAGAAGAAAAACCTTGCTTTGGCCTTCAATTCGACATAAACATATTTCGACCATGTTTTATCAATTAGCAATATTAAATTTCATTCAATTATATTGTAACCGGTTCTTGTAGAAATTAAAAATAACTGCAAGATGGTATATAAGGTTGGATTCTTAGTATTTATTCCGTGGAGATATATAGTTGATTTCAAGATGAAATAAATGTTTTAAATCAACCCTAAAATAACAATAACAACATATAAATACATAGACAACATATAAACAAGCACATTCACTTTACAACACAAAACGATCACAATTTAAACACATAGAACATTCATTTAGGCCATTACTTTACACTTCATATAAACGCATTCAAAGGGCAATAACTCTTTGAAACTCTTACTGAATTAATGATGTAAATTATATTTCTCTATACTGAAATATTTACAATACTTTAAAAATATGAGTTTAACATACCAGTGTATGGAACAAAGTGATTTATCTCTTGATCAGGATGACTTTAAGAGTTATTACATGATGACCTAATGGATTAATAAATTATAAAATCATAATAATTCAAACCCAGATCTTAATAACAAAGATCTACATGAATTAGATTAAAACATAACTTGCTCTTACTTTACAATATCAATCTTAACTTTAATAACTTTAGAACTTTCACTCTAGCACATTCATACTCATTTAGCAAGTTTATATTAAAATACTTTATTGTTTCATTCATTACCTTTAATTTTAATTTATAATCATTTAATTAGTTGAAGAAAAGGATTTACTTACTATTTATGGATGTTTAATATACTCCAATATATATATAAATCAAATTATAACAGACAACCAGATCTCTACATCCTTCTCAGACAAAAATCTCTGAATAGAATCATAAAACAAAGGTTTCCCGCCTGAATGGACAACTTTGACCAAACAATACCAACTGACCAATAGAATGTATGAAAACAGACAATACCCTTATTTATAAATGGACTAATCCATATATCTACCTTAACCCATAGTCTTTGGGTTAAACCATTATTTAAATAGGGATGTTTATGATATTAGTAATGCAGGCGCAGCGCTTGTATAGATGTATGGATTAATGAATAAATGAAATTCCTGAAATAAATTAAAATAAAATAAAACTAAGTACAACTACCACAATATGATAAACTGGATGGCTAAAACTTTTCGATCGACAATTTTCCTTATTTGTATAACAACATAATACTATCATCTGTGGTTATGTCTTTCAATTTATCTTATGGTGACAAAGGATATATTTTGAGATTAAGTAACCGTCAAAATTTGAGGGAAAATACGGAACCTTAAGGTTTTAATGCATATTTTATTTATTGTTTGAAAACACAGACTGAGATCAAAAGTGAGCTCGTCTAAGTTCTGTGGCCCCGGAGCCTGATCTTACCTCTGGTGTTTTCAGGGTTCCATATTTGTCTTGCTGTAATTTATAATTTTTATCGTTGAATTGGATTTTTTAACTCGATCATTATTCATTATCTTAATATTACATAGATCTTAAACTACTATTCATATTTCAGAGTCGGTGCTGTTAGATGATTGGTTTGAAATTTTTTCCAGAAAGATTAGAAATATGCGTCAATTTTAGTATTTATATGCTTTAACAAACACTATTTTTTTAATCTGCTTGTGTACGTGAAATGGACATTTTAAAAATGACAGCCTCTCAATCACTGAGTTGATCATTCCTTCATTATACTGTGTAACATGCTTCATATTAAACCTTTGTTTTTCCGGCACTTATATTTTGCACTCCTTGCTTACTTTGCACTCAAATTTGTCAAAACTTCGCTTCACTAATATTTTTGATAATTCTTTCGAATTATGATATATACATGTATATCATAAACGAAATATATGGTTTTTAACTATAAAGTCTCCTTGAGTTATTGTTTTATATAGATCTCTATCAAAATTTAACATAACTAGCTTTCCATAATAAATTGTAAACAAAGGGAAGATAACTCACATCTAAGAACTTTAAACTCGTGCAGTTCTACATTATCACCTTTTTAAAACCAAACAGTCGATATACAGTATTTCTTTGTAGTTTATATTTTACACACAACTAAACCGGATAGTTTTTGGATACTTATAACAGTTCATGGTGAGTGTACACTTTCCCGCATCATTAAATTAAGGTCATATCATAAATTCATTATTTACGTGATATTAAAAGAGTCAGTTCCGTTTAATAAGTAATTCCAGACATATTAACAAAGTGAAGCAAGTCTCAATAAATAAAATATAATACCTGGGATAAGAAATTTATTAGGTCCATGTAAACATCAATGGCTTGCATCGAAAAAGTCTTTTGGAAGGATACCGTTTTGGAGTAAGATCACATTACCTAACTGTATATTATTCGATGAAATATGAAGATAACAAACAGTATTCAAGCTCAAAGGTCCATTGAAAACAGTTCAAATTCAGAGCAGAGCAAACACGGACCTCTAAAAACATCAGATGTGGGATCAGGTGCCATGGAGGAGTATGCATCCCCTGCCGACAGGACATACCCGCCTGCTTCTTGACATGCCATAATAGTGCTAAACGAAAATCATTACGTATTATAGAGAATCCGAAACATTAGAAACATTTGAGCATCGAATTGTAAATTTTGGAGTTCATGGTGTCATAACATGGATTGCTGTGCTAGCTACAAAATATACAATTAAATACTAATATTCACTTTTATCGATTTCATGGAAGTTTGATGATATATCACTTCTTTGAATATATTATGCCTATTTAAATGACATACACCACATTTGTATAGCTAAAATGAGAGAGCAGCCGTTACTGTTCAACGTGAGCTTGAATTTTGATTTTTCCGTTTATTACTATGTTCAAAGTTTGTAACGTCAAAATAAAAATCCTCTTAATGTTCGTGTTACGATGTTTTGAATGCCGAAGCTTTAAACGCATTCAATAGGAACAATGCTTATGGGTATGTAACTAATATTGATATGCAAAATTAAAAGGAAAAAAGAGAAAATTTCAAAATTAATAATATGCGGGAAATTTTGTTTCACCATGGTGGACCATTGTTTCATTTTTGTAGAGTTTTTAAAAGAAAGGATACCCAAGTGTTAAGTGCTATGCTAAAATTTTCATGTAGTGTAAATTCGATTTTTTTTTTCAAACATACCCCTGAGCTCTTGACTTGCTTATATACATAGCTATATTTTCAGTAAAAAAAAAATACGCAATACTTATGAGAAAAAAAATTAGCTTTTACTGTAGGTTACATTATAACTGTAAATATTGTAACTCTTATAGAACATTTTGTCAATATATATATATATATATATATATATATATATATATATATATATATATATATATATATATATATATATATATATATATATATATATATATATATATATATATATATATATCAAAGCATTTACGTATGTCACATGCTTACGCTGTTCAATCAGATGTGCATTTATTTGCACTTTCAGGTAAAATGTCGCATTACAAAATATTTTCGACAAGTGGAACATCAGCATCTGTTTCATTTTTTGGGATCCCTTATGCAGACTTTGACAGAACAGGTATTATTCCCTATCTTTAAAAAGGTATAAATGAAATATACGTTTAAAATTTTATCTGAGTAAAAAAAAACAAACCATACTGATTATAAGACAAATACCACAAATGAAACTGTCACTTAGCGTATGATGTTGCCACTTTGCTATTCTTTATGATTTTCTATTTGAATCAAATTTTTCTAAAGGGCATTGGGCAGTATGGTGTATTTCGAAGATGTTTGAAGCCGCCCGAATAATTGCATTGTATAATGGATTTCTAAATTTTACTAAAATTGATGGACGAGAGGCAGGTATGGTGATTGTGAAACAGCAGTTAAAACTCAGTCCCAAGTTACACGAAATGACCTTAAAATCGAAAACTCAGTTGTTATTTGACATGGTGCTGCTAGAAGTCGGAAAAACGTCTATTTTATATCGGATACAATTCAAAGATGGGTCCACTAATGAAATTCTTGGTGAGAATTTTCTCAAATTTGTCAGAATGAGCAGAAAAACAAGACGACCTATGGTATTTCCAGACTGGTTCTACGAATTGTACGCATCGTATATGAATTCTTCCGGTCATCCAGTTTTGTCGAAAGAACCTTTGCCTGAAATTCCAGACAATGCATATAAATTCGTTGTTGTTCCAAATCATAGTGACACGGACAGGAACAATCACGTGAACCAATCATCATACATCAAATTTTGTATGGATGTTGCCACAAAAGCAGCCTTAAGTGGACATTATGTTCACTTTTCTGAAGACATGTGTCTCTACGCCTCCCTTCAATGGACAATAAGTTACGTTGGTGAAAGCATGGCAAATGACGAACTTAATATATTTACTTGGCAAAGGGAGTATAAACCAGAACACATATATTTTTCAATTTTGTTAAAAGGTAGACCAATTTTTCATGCTTCAACAATTTTCGATGAGGAGGCAAAAGGAATCAGAATAGCTTCTAGAATATAAAAAAAAAAGTATATTGAAAATTAAAAAGAATAAAACAAAATCGTCATATACTAGTACTGCATCAATCATGTAAATGATCATTGATGTTTCGAAAACCCTTCTACATGAATATGGATCACTGATTAAGTAATTCTAACTACATCTATGAAAATACTGTTTATGAATTGATATGTACGTAATAAAAATATACCTCTATATCGCCCTTAGTTAATGTTTTAATTAATGAATACTTATATTATGATTGTATGGTACCTGTAAGTCTCAAATGTAAGGAATTCAACGTCTTATTTAATAAAACATGTTCGTTATCGATGATTTCTTTCGTAGTTTTGCATTTGGTGACAGACAAGAGAAAGATTAATTTTTATACCAATATTTTGCCTATTCAAACTTTACCTGTTATGCCTGCATTTAAGAAGTGTCGACACATAAAACAACCCTTGATTAAGCATTGTTGCAGCCAAATTTGCAATTGTCATTTTTCACTATTAAAACTTTATTTTTTCTAAAAAATAATGTTTAAAATAAGGATGTCAATTTCATTTGGATAACCTAGTCGAATTATCAGGAGGCTTTAGTCGAGCGATGGTCGAATACTCATTTTAATAATATATTTTCAAGTCAGTTTAGCTTTTTGTCATTTTTCAGACTGCTTATTTTCAATGTTTAAATCAAGCTACCATCACACATAACGTATTTCTCAATATACATGTGTAAGTACATAGTAGAAATACCTTAATTATCTTTATCTGATTTAAAAGTATTTTTTACCACATATTTTATCCAAACACACTTTATCAAATACTATGACTTGTCATAAAAATATCATTTGACACCATTTGATTGGACCCGTGACTGGTACTAATTATCAAAACATTAAGAAACAAGATGTGTTTGTGAAACACTGATTCCCCAGTAAGACAGCTTACTTCCAAGGTGAAAGTTTTTCAAATTTTGGTCAAACTCCAAGGTCAAGGTAAAGAAGTCAAAAATGTCGGTGCCCAAAGAACTTGTCACAAAGAATACACGTGAAATATGAAAGCCGTATCTCTAATCATAAGTTATGGCCAATGTTAAAGTCTTTAAAAGTAGGTCAAACTCCATGGTCAAGAGTTAAAAAGTTTTGGTACTCAAAAGAAAGGTCTCGTCACAAGGAATACACCCAAGAAACATGAAAGCCATAACACTAACCGATCAAATATTATGGGCAAGGTTAATGTTTTCCAAAAGTAAGTCAAACTTCAAGGTCAAGAATTCAAAAGTATCGGTATTCTAAGAAATGTCTTGTCACAAGAAATTTTAACGAGAAATACGAAAGCCCTAGCACTAAGCGTTCAGAAGTTATGGACAAAGTTAAAGTTTTCCAAAAATAGGTGAAACTTCAAGGTATGAAATATGAAAAAAAAAAATAGTGTCAACTATCTAAAAATTATGCAATTAAGGTAAAAATTTGGTAAAAGTTTATAAAAATATAGGTCAAACTCCAAGGTCAAGAGTTCAAAAATGTTGGTGTTCAAACTGCGAGGTCAAGAGGTCAAATATGTTGGTACTCAAAGAAAGGTCTTGTCACAAGAAATACAAATGAAATATCAAATATGAAAGTCATAGCACTAACCATTCAAATGTTACGGGCAAGGTTAACGTTTTTGTGGACAAACAGAGAAACAGACAGACGGACAGACCAAAACTATATGCCCCGAATCTTTTATCACCCGGGGGGGGGGGGGGGGGTTGAGACGATTTTTTTTATTGTATTGTTTAAATAAAAACATAAGAAGAGGGTAAATACATGTAACTCGTTAGAAATGTGCTAATCAGTAACCGAATAAAAAATGTACAGTCGATAGTCAGTATGACCGAGTGATAATCGAGTACCCGAATACTCGTTGATATCCCTAATTTAAAACAATAAACGTTTCTACCAGATAAGTTTGGCATCTTTTTTGCTTTGAGAGTTTATGCTGTTAATAACATGATTAATTCATACATGGACAGAAAACGTTTTACTTGGATAAAAATAATAAACACATAGAGCGTATGAAATCGAAAAAAATACGACTAATTTTTGCAGTCAGCGTAGACGTCAAAGGACAGCATATAATTGTAATCCGCCCTTAAAGTCAATGATTTATTCTCAAAGGCGAAACCAGGACTTAACCATTGATGAACATCATCCATCAGTTCAGATTGTAAGGTATGGTATAAATCGGGCGTTAACCAGTTCCTATCATGTTAATGCATGATATGAACAGAAATATACATTATTAAATTTAATAGTTTTTAATACATGATGTAAACAGAAATATAAATTATTTAATTATTTTTTTTTCAAAGATTCTTGGATATTCGAAAGCATTTTAAATATTCATCTTTCGAGTCTTTTTTCCCAAGATTTTAGGTTGATACATCTTTTTTGTGCTTAAGGACAGTCTTAAATCTTAATTTGACAATCTAATTATGCTTGTCCAAGAAATCTTTAAATCTGTAATGACGTGAAGAGATATGTTTATAAATGATTGTTTAACTTGATTTTAAAAGTGGCTTTAATTCAAGATACTGAAACAATTATATATAATGAACACTAATTTATACATGCACTATTTTGCCATATTACATATGTTATGGTTTAAACATTATTTTACTCAACAAAAGATCAGAAACAAATTATTACAACTTAGAAGTTCTCCTTACATGTAATTACTAAATGTAATTATCACGAATAATTGAATGAAGATACTTTGATGGATTAGTACGTGTAAGATGTATACACATATCTATAATATACACTGCATAAAATACGTACAGACGAAAGTGAAGCAGAATTTTTAAAATCATTTGAATCTGTTGGAATAAGATAAACGTTTGAGAACTGCAGAAATTATAAAGTATAAGATGTGTATCAATGATGTTCAGATCAAATCTTTGTTCATAAAAAAGTTCTCACATGCTGGAAATAATTTGTTTGATAAATTACTTAATTTAAAAAAAGGATTTTGTGCATTTAGTTGAACTTAGGTGAGCTGATAACAGTACGCCTGTGTCATACTCTAACGAACACACTGAAAAAAGTATTTGGGAAGGTAAATGCAGATTCCGTGATCCTTTGTGGTAATTGTAGTGAAAATGAAACGCACAGTGTTGGTACAATGACAAGTGACACAACAGAAATTTAATAACATTTCATTCAAAATTCATTAGCAGTGGTTTAGAACAACGACTTCTGCACATTAACAAATCTTAGGAAAAAAAATTTTCAAACCACTAATGTACAAATAATACCTTCTTAATTGACGATTGATCTTAACTATAAACATTACAAAATAACTTTTTTCTGCCCCCGTATCGAAGATTCGGGGGCATATAGTTTTTGCCCTGTCCGTCTGTCTGTCTGTCTGTTTGTCCGCAAAAACTTTAACTTTGTCCATAACTTTTGACTGGTTGGAGCTATGGCTTTAATATTTCACATGTGTATTTCTTGTGGCAAGATCTTTCTCTGGATACCATCATATGTGACCTTCTGACCTTGACCTTGGAGTTTGACCCAGTTTTGCAAAATTTTACCCAACTTTAACATTGGCCATAACTTTTGAATAGTTGGTGCTAGGGCTTTCATACTTCACACGTGTAATCCTTGTGACAAGACCTTTCTTCGAAAACCAACAACTTTGACCTTTTAACCTTGACCTAGGAGTTTGACCTACTTTTGAAAAACTTTAACCTTGGTCATACCTTTTGAACAACTAGAGCTAGGACTTTCATACTTCATATATGTAATTCTTGTGACAAGACCTTTCTTTGGATACATGTACCAACAACTTTGACCTTAACCTTGAAGTTTGAACTACTTTTGGAAAATTTTAACCTTGGCCATAACTTTTGAACAGTTGGGCTAGGGCTTTCATTCTTCACATATGTAATCCTTGTGACAAGTCCCTTCCTTGGATACCAACAACTTTGACCTTGACCTTTGAGTTTGACCTACTTTTGGAAAACTTTGACCTTGGACAGAACTTTTGAGCAGTTGGTGCTAGGGCTTTCATATTTAATATGTCTATTCCTTGTGACAAGACCTTTCTTTGGATACCAACAATTGTAATCCATTGACCTTGACCTTGGAGTTTGACCTACTTTTAAAAACCTTTAACCTTGGACATAACTTTTGAATGATTGGTGCTTTGGCTTTCATATTTCACCTGTGTATTTCTTGAAAGGACTTTCCTTGGGCAACATTAATTTTGACCATTTGTGCTTGACCTTGATGTTTGACATACTTTTGAAAATTTTTTTAACCTTTTCCATATCTATTCAATGGTTGCTCCTAGGGCTTTCCTATTTCACAGGTATATTCCTCGAGACAAGACCTTACTTTGGGTACCAACATATTTGATTTGCATTTGAGAAAGTTTAAACTTTGCTATAAGTTACCAAACAGGGGCATCAGTGTTTCACAAACACATCCTGTTGTTTGTTTGTTTTTTGTTTTTGTTTGATTGGTTTTTTTTTTATTTCCAAGCACAACTACGATGGTTAATGTTGCACGAATGCAAAGAGCAAGCCAAATGCTAAAACTTATGGGACACCCATAGTAAATAAATACTATAGCAATTCCAACACATACATTTCTATCATTGTCAACCTTATGTCTGCAAATTGTTAGTCTACCTACTGACCTTTACCTTTCTTGAATTCATGTTCCTGTTGTCTAAACACGACCACCTTCTCACTTATTTTTTGGCTTTTGCTATTTTGTATTTCACATTTTTTTTGGTATCCCCTATTTTTATTTATCTATTTTATTATTTTTTTTTTTTAAAAAACAAGAATGAAGAAAATTGTAAAGCTTGTTTCGAAAACGAACAAATGCTTTTTTTTTTTTTTAATTTACCAATACAAGGGCGTTAGTAAGATGTCAAAATAAGCACTGCAGAAAATGAATGTGCAATTCAACCACAAAGGCTTTGTAGAAACGAGAGCTCTTTTTAAAAAATCTGTATAAAATAAAACGAAAAAAGACTTTATAACAGTATCGTTAATTCTCGTTTTAAAGCGACGTAAAATAGTTCATTCGTATTAAAGCTCTCCGGATTTCTGTTCTTTGTGAAATATCTATATTGTTATTTGATACTTGGCTTTTTGCAAACAATTATAGACTACAATTGCTTAGAGCTTATTCAATATAGACCTTTTCTGTTTATTGGTTCATCTGACATATTGTTGATAATTTGAGTCGACTATCAAAATGATATATAAATTTCCTGTTAGAATCTACGTAAATTGTTTGCCATGATGCGATTTTTAATTTTAAAATTATTAACGTTGTATCTCTCTCTTTTCACATCTCTTGGCCCACGATCCGAGAAAGAGAGAAAGAGTATGAATTATTGTGAACTTCAAATCTCTCTTAATTGCTCTTTAAAGACAGTAACAGAAAATAAACGATAAAAATACTGATCACCGTTGCATGTAATTTTGTCAAGTGAAATGTAAAAAAACTTAATTTCTTGTTTTGACATTTTTAAATGCTAGAATATGGTTTGTTCGACAGCGTTGTGCATGTTCTATTGAATGTATTATGAAAAAATATGTATATTCAATTTTTGATTACCGAAAAAAAGGAAAAATAATAATAACAAATTGTGAAACGCATAAAACCTACAAATTTCTTTGCCACTGAAGATAAGTTTGCATAATAAAGACATTTACTACATCACAACTGGTCTGTGTCTTCGCTCTTAATTAGGGTCAAAGCCCTTGCCGTTTGGAATGCAAGGAAAGAAAGAAATGCCAAAAAAAAAGTTTTATGCCTAAATTTCGAAAGTAATACTGGTAAAGAAATTCTGAATAATAATTATTATTATATGGAATGAAATAGCATATACATGTAGTTGCTTAAACCTATTTTTTTAATATGATAAAAGATGTACATGTTAATTACAAGTAAAAATCAATATTTACACTAAGAAGTTGACTATATTCTCCAAACATTTTCTTGGAAACTGGGCATAGTACAAAAACAAACCAAAGTATAAATAATTGAAGAGTGAGTGTTACGTTGAAGTTTTCCTTCTAATGAAAAAGGTGAAGATAACGAACAGTGAGTGATCGATCCCGGGGGTTATGATTTGAACAAACTTGAATCTATACTACCTGAGAATGCTTTTATAAAATGACTTATTATGACTTTGCTGTTCCTGGGAAAAAGATTTTTAAAGATTTTTTTTTTCTATGTATTCCTATGTAAAACTTTGATCGCCCCTTGTGGTCACACCCTACCCACGGGGATCATGATATGAACAAACTTGAATACACGCTACCTGGGAATGCTTCCGTATAAATATAGCTGATTTTTGCTTTGCTGTTCTTGAGAAGTAGATATTTACAGATTTTTTCTATGTATTTCCATGTAAAACTTCGATTGCCCATTGTGGCTCCACCCTACCCCCGAGGGTCATAATTTGAACAAACCTGAACATACAGTACCTGTGGATGCTTTCATATAAATATGAATGATCATGGCTTTGCTGTTCTTCATCAGAAGATTTTAAAAAAGATTTCTCATATGCATTTGTATAGAGAACTTTGATCCCCGTTGTAGCCATACCCTACCTCCAAGGAGTCGTGATTTGAACAAACTTGAAGCTACACTACCTTAGAATGCTTCCTTATAAATATGATTAGTCACGACGCCTTTTTTATTCTAGAGAAGATTTTACCTATATGTTATATTTGTTGGACCAATAGTCATACAATAATTGCTGTATCTGGAAATGAAGCGGGGGCGTGACGAGTGCCCGCAGGGCACGAGGTCACGACCCCGTTTCAATTCCAGATACAGCAATTATTGTATGACTATTGGTCCAGCAAATGTTTTGTGGCACGCCTACTTTCACGAGCTGCAGTGGCATTTTTCGCGCTTCAATTTAGTTGGGATTGTTTTAAGCTAAAAGATGGACGTAGATTTTTTGGATAATGACTTCAAAGTTGAAGAAATAGACGACATGACATTGTCTCAAGTGTGCGACGAAATGGAAGCTTTCGACGGATTACTGAACATGAGCCTTACACAGACGCTAGCAGAGTACGACACAGGATCGGAGCATGGTGAATTTAAGCTTGAATGGGACTTTTTGAGTGAAAATGAAAACAGTTCGAATTTGCCGACCACATCGGGTGATCGTTTTGCGCCCCCAGTGACCGAGAGTGAACTGAAATCTCTAATTGAAAGCCAGGAAAACATATTAAACACTAAACAAAACACTAGATGGGCGGTCAACGTGTTTGAGAAATGGAGAACAGGCAGATCCGAAACTATTCCAGAACTTCAATTCCAGGGCAGCGAGGAAATGAATTACTGGTTACAACGCTTTATAGTGAAAGCTAGACGGCAGGATGGTAAGGACTACCCCCCTAAGAGCCTGTACTTGATTTCATGTGGACTACTTCGTTTTTTGCGGGACAAAGGTGTGTACGACAAAAACTTTTTAGACGAAAAAAACACAACTTTTATTGAATTTCGGAAAGTTCTAGATGCAAAAATGAAGTCGCTGATTGAAAAAGGCATAGGGTGTACTACGAAGCAGGCTGATCCTATTTTACTAGAAGACGAGGCCAAGTTGTGGGATGTTGGAGTGTTTGGAAAGAAAAATGCAGAACAACTTCAGAAAACGATTTTCTTTTACGCCTGTAAAATCTTTGGTTTGCGTGGGTGCGACGAACATCATAACCTGGAATGTGAACAGTTTACTATTGGATCAGATCAGCTAGGAAAATTTATTGAGTTTACGGGTCGAAAAACCAAAACGTACAAAGGAGGGCTCGGACAGCTAAATGTGTGCAACAAGACCATTAAACATCACTGCCAGTCCGGTAAGAGAATCTCTCTCTCTCTCTCTCTCTCTCTCTCTGTGTGAGGATGTACGCTTGCTCGCTCGCTCAGCTTACAAATTCAAAATTTTCTTGTAGGTGAGAGATGCATTGCTGACTATTTCGATCTATATCTGGATTCTCTTGGACGCCAAGGAACATTCTATCGAAGACCTCTTCCCGCAACATCTGAGGTGCCAATCCGATACGGAAATCAAGTTGTGGGAATTAACAAGCTGAAAAACTTAATGCGAATCATCTGCACGGAAGGTGGTTTACAGGGTAATTATTCGAATCATAGCGGCAAACGCACTTGTGCGACCCAGCTATATATGTCTGGTGTTGAAGAGCAGCAGATAATGGATCGGACTGGTCATCGTTCTCAAGCAGGTGTCCGTAAATACAAAAGATCCAGTGCGCAAATGGAAGCTAATGTGTCAAAGATCTTGGATCCGCCCAAAGAGTGTACCGAGAATTCTACTCCGTTGAATACTCTAGATGGATGCACTCCAGGTATTTCAGATGAGTGTCCCGTTATTCCACAGACTGCAGCAAATGTCCAGGGTGAGGGGGAACCTCAGAGCAAGAGATTCAAACCGAACAGATTCCCGTTTGGAGAATTTAAAAATTGTAACATTACATTTCAGTTTTAAAGTGAAATTTTCACAAAAATCAATGACTAGCCAGATAGCTTGTTAAACTACCTAAACCTGATATTTCAGAATTGAGTCTTTTTTTTCTTTTTTTTTTCTTTTTTTTTTCTTTGTCTTGTAAAAATTGTACAAGGACATTAAATTTAATTTAAAGGTTTTGTTGAAAAATTTAACTTTACAATGGTTGATTAAATGATAAATTTTGTGAGGATTTGATTTTCTTACCTTACAATAATTATAAAATTATTGTACGGCATAATTACCACGCCTCCTTTGATACAGTGCAATAACTTGCAGTTTCTGAAGTTATTGTACGATGCTAGGCTACGCCTACCTGGGTACAGAACGAGTACAGAACAAACTGTATTATATAAGGAGAGGAACTAGTAAGTTATTTTAGAACTTGTTTCCAATCCTTTTGATTTAATCAATAAAATATGTTCAAAACAATACAGAACGAGTATTGGAAATCACAGTACACTAGTCATCAAAGAAAATACGCCGCATAAGTGCCACAAGTACCCATGTAAAACTTTGATCGCCAAAAGAGGCCACACCCTATCCCCGGGGTCATTTATACTTAAATTTACACTATGTCCGGAAGCTGTCACATAAGTTTCACCTTTTCTGGCCCAGTGGTACTTGAGAAGAAGAAAAAATTGAAAATTCCAAAAAGATCTTTAGTTTTACATAGAGAAATTAGTTTTCAGTCTTTTCAATACACTATATTAGCAAAACATGAATTAATGTACCGGTAGTTTCGTTCAACCAGACACACGGATGTCTCCGTAAACTCAGACGAGCATCTCTGTTTGTCGGAGTTTAAGAAGACAGCCGAGTGTCTGGTTGAACGAAACTACTGCATAATGTAGTCTTACCGTCTCTCTGTTCGTATGATGTTCGTATGTTTACATTTGTAAATGTGTCTCAAGTATGTATTATTTGTGACTTGTAAATTATATGCCATGAGATTTTATATCTTGAGCAATAGAGCAGAAGGATCAAATACCAGTAGTATAATCACTTTCGTCGCGGATAAGTACATAATACCACCGCAGGGTTAGTTATGAAACGTCCATACTTACATTTTAGTAGAATTTTATATTGTTCATTATTGAACCTTTGAATGGTCATGAGGGGAGCTTAAGTACCGGATCGTTCATTTCAGACAAAAAATTGACACTTGAAGGCAGAGAGGGAAATGAGGTGATGATATGATGTATAATCGCGGCGCTAAGATGTCTTCATTTGTGACCCTTCATTATTTATGGCATTCAAACTCTTCAATTTGCATAGAAATATAAATGGACTCGAATTTATTTAAGACAGCCAGCACGATAAATAAGATTTGAAAATAATATTAAGAAGAAAATTCTTCTCTGTGATCACATCTCACTGTTTAAGCATAACTTGCATATATTGTAAAACATATCCGAAGACTTTATGAATCAACTGCCGATCAACATGTCAATTAAAAATTACAATAATTAGAAAAACAATTCGTAATCAATGAGTCATGGAAGGTTAGTCAGTCATTACTGTACGTCAATTAGGGCCCGTCGATTAGTGTGTCCTGCAGAAGGAAATATTCATAAATCAAATAATTAACCAGAATATCTTAGAAATTAATGTCGAATCGTTTGTCAAGTGTATTTTCCAACTATATATTGTAAAATTCTAAATGTTATCAACATTTTTATTTTGATTCATAATAAAATGATCCTCCATCTGAAGTTGTAACAAATACTAGAAAAGAATAATATGCTTTTCAGAACCAATTAATTTCGTCAGAATTGTTTTCATAGTTATATATATTTTTTTTTTGAAAATATACAATTAGATTGTTTTCGTCTAATGATCATGTATTCAAAAAAGAAGCTGTAGTGTATTTAAAAAAAGTCTCAATTTAATAAAATGTGAAGAAAACGAATTGTAATTATGCTAAAAAGTCCAGTTAAACAAAAACTGAGAGTGCGGAAAACTCACACCCTTGAAAACATCAGAGTTGGAATCAGGTGCCATGGAGGAGTAACCAACTCGACCGTTCACACCTGCCGTGAGCCCCTTGTATTTATCGGGAACTGTAGACAATTCTAAATGAAAATAATGGCCTAAAAATTAATTTGTTTTAAAACCATCTGTCAACATTCGACCTAACGACAGGCTGTATTTCAAAAAAGGTCATTGTATTGTCCATGATATCCTTGCATCACCGACTTATTGGTCAGTATCCTGCCTCGGTTTAGAAATTGTTCGTTCTCTAAAGATGCATGCTCCTGTGTTTCAGATCAACTGGGAGTCATAAACACTCTTTGCAGGTGACAAATTGGAAATTGCTACACAAATAAAGGGAGTTGGCGATTGAAAAAATTAAAATCATCACATTTGTCAGAAAGTTTGGTTGATATTTGCCATCAGTGTCTTACTCTAGTCAGACTCTGGTGTTTTTTCGAGTTCAACAGAATAAATCAAATCAAATCAACGCACAACATAAAAATGAATGTTCTTTATTGACAAACGCCCACATATCTAAATGTCGAATTCAAGGCCACAGTAAGATACATCTTTTTCATTAGGTTTTTAGGTTCAGAGTACTTATTTATAGTGTAGAAACAAAATGATTTTAACAAATTGAATGTAAATTTGAAGATGATCCATCACAAGATATTAAGAATTTTTATTTTCATTTTTAAAGATTACCTGCAGTAGCATTTTATTTTTTGAAATGATAAAGATCACAATAAAATAATACGAAAGAAAAAAACCGCATCGAAATCTATGCACAAATAACGAAGTTATCGCGCTTTAAAGGTGCCTATTTTTACCTGTTTTGAAAATCCAATCAAGCGAAAATAGAAATGATCGATAACGAGGCTCTACTGGTGTGACGTCACAACATGTACCGCATAAGCGGGTCAGTATTAACGACAATGAGATTAACGTGGAAAACGACGACGATTTTAGCTTTGATATGAGGCATTGGTCTATAAGTTTTAAAAATCCAGACGGAATAATTATTGAGCTTTGCATCAGACCTTACTAGGCTGAGCCAGAAACCGATTCTAACGAGGAATTTATAGAGATTTCAAAACAACCTACAGCCAGGGTCGTGTATACTACAATTAAAGTTCCTGTATATATCTCCCTGTTACAGCCTACTGAATATGACTGGAAAAAAATCATCAAAACCAAAATACAGGAATTTTTAATTCTATATTTTCAATGTCCTAAAACAGTTCGTTCATCAAGCTGTTAATTATTTCAACAAGATCTTCATTACTATCGGCTAAATGATAATTGACGATTTTCTCGTTTGGATAAAAATTCTTCTATGTCTAAATTTGATAATCAGTTGTTACCATTTAGCAATCAGCAGCAGCAATATTATCAATTTAATTTTACTTCAAAGTCACGACCAAATATATTTTCAAAAATCGGGTCATTATCAATATACAAATTATTAAAACTAATTGTTAAATAATGATACCCGCGTACTCCTAATTATGGTAATGTACTTATAATTTTTTTTTGTCACCACAAAATTAAAGTTGTTACTTATTTTTGATGACTAATTCATATGAAATGAGCTGGTGAAAAGATAACATGAAATCCTTTATATTCAATAAATACATTTAATCCGAATTTCCTCGATATATTTTCAAAATTCTCAGTTTTCATGAATTCACATGAAATTTCATCTCAATTTTTACAATTGACCATATAATGTCAAATATCTAGATTTTTGTTTGATGAATATTCAAAGGTTAAAGATTAATTTACAAGTTAAAAAAGATAGAGTAATCAGGCAAATTATCGAGAAAAAAATTAGCCCGAATTTGCTCTATACTTTCTGAAATCTTCAATTTACAGAGTGTTTTTAATGTCTATAAGAAAGATTTTTAATCATCAAAAATATATCAATTTGGTGTAATTGTGACATAAATACATTAATTTCTACCAGTTATACATTCTATTTTTATGGTATTTTACACTAATGATATACAAAATATTCATTTCGAATTTTCTCCGTCATTTTATTCTTATGAATGTTATGTTTGACAACTTTATAAAATACATCAATTTTCTAGTGGCAATTACAGAAAAATTATCACATACATTTTTCACATGCACAGGACTAGTTCAAAGCAACTTAACCTTCAATATAACCAGGAATAAATAATAAACCTTCCAAAAAGTTATGAGAAAAATCACATATAAAATTTTCATAGACTAGAAGAGATTTCAATACATTATTTATGACATAAACATGAAATCAATATACATGTATAGTGAACATGCCATTCAATGCTTAATATATGAATATCAGAGGGACTAATATACATGCCTATACATGTATATGTAGTTATATACATATAGGTCCCTGGTATTATGTTATTATTGGATATTTTACATTTGTAAACTGAGTTTAGAAAACAACAAGCAAATTCAAAGAATTGTGGTCCCCCGCTTTCGATGTCCTAGTGGATGAGATGCAATTATTTATGGCATATTGTAACTGTCTTGTTTGTTTGTCCTGTCTTATCTGTGCATCATACAAAAAGACATAAATTATTGAATTAATAACAGTTATGGCAAAGACTATAGCTTCTCAAAACTACATCAAACTTCAAGATCAAGGTCATGAGGTCAAATATCATAATAAAATCCAAAAGATCTTCACACAAGCGATGCACATGTAAAAAAAATATATATCAGAAACCAGAGTATACAATCAGAAAGGTCTTGAAACAGGTAATGAACATGTCAAATGTAAATACCATATCTTCTCTCAATCAAATGTTATTAGCAATGATAAAATTTTTAAAAATTAGGTCAAATTTTAAGGTCAAGGTCATGGGATTAAAAATCATAATACATTTGGAAATGCTTGTCACAGGTAATGCACTTGTCAAATATGAATGCCCTATCTTTGCTCCTTCAAAAGTCAGCAAACCGATGAAATGTTTGAAAATTAGATCAAACTGGAAGGTCAAGGTCACGGGGTCAAATATCATAGCATATTCAGAAACATTTTGACACAGGTAATGCACTTGTCAAATATGAACACCCTATCATATGT